TGAGATTTGGGGTGTTAGCCAATATTAGGGCTAATTTGGGGGTTTTGGTCAAAGATGGTCAAATTAACCAAATTAGACCATGGTGTAGTGGGACAAAATGAAATTGGGAATATTTTAGATTTATTGGGATTTTTTGGAAATTTTTGGAAATTTTTGAATTTTTGGGCCATGGAGGGTCATTTTGGTAATTTGGCCATTTTTGAAAATTTTTGCTAGTTCAAAGTGTTTGGAATGAGTTTTGATCAGTTTTGGTATTTTGGCAAAATTTAGGAATTTTGGCCAACTTTGGGTCCGAATGGCAGTTAGGTAATTTGGAAGTACCTAGGGACAAAAGGCCAAGTTGGGCATTTCAAGTGCAATTGGGTAGAGAATCACTTTGAATGAGTCATGGACCAATGAAATCTCCATTTTGGGTCCCCATATATTGGTCTTAGCCAGGGTATTGTGAGGGTATTATGAAAGTATCATGAGGGTATGGTGTACCTTAGCTCCAAATCAACACCCATCCTAAGGTCAAGTAGCCCTATAAGAGCTCTCCTTGACTTCTCTCATAATGATCTTACCTACTAAGTGCTAGAGGTTAGGACCAATATGTGGAACTTCAAGTTGAGTAAAGAGAGGAGTTTTGAGTTTCTAATGGTGGGGGTACCTTTTCTAGTTTTCTAAGACTAGTCAGTAGGAAAGTCCTATGGCTAGACCTAAGCTACTAAAGAAGTTTCTAGACCTCAACCGAAAGTGAGGTTAACAACAATTATTATCACTCCCTCTTTCTTAGGAACACAATGAACCAGACTAACCTAAGCACTGTTAAAAAAAAAGGTAGATGATTGATGATTGATCCCGATGTGATCCCGATGCTCTTTATATATGTTAATGCGATGTATGCAATTATATTCTTTATTTTTCCTTAATTATAATGCTTACTTCACAACGACGCCAAAAACTTGATCATCAACAACAACTAAGCACAAACTTGACTTCGAAACAAATAAGAATACAAGTATTATATTTAAATATGAGATACTATGCAAGTATCATTATTAAGTAATATAGGACTTTTTAATTAAATCCCGAATATCGAACCCACAGTGCTTGGTGCCCTAGTGTCAAGCTTTCGGTTTCCAAGCTTGGCTAGGACCTAGGCGCCCAGTAGTTGGCGCCATGACCCCAGCCTTCACAAACAGTCTTTTCTTCAAATCTTCTCCTTTTCACTCTATGTTTCTTCTACTTTGTTTTACTCTTAATATGTGTTATACCTGCAAGAAAAACTTACAAATACATTTCCTTAAAGTGTAATTTCATTCAAAAAGATGTGCAAAATATAAAAAAATTCATACAACATTTTCATGCATCAATAGATGTCAGAGAGTAGATAATATTTCTATTTGTGATGAAATGCCCCTAAATTTTATTTTGGAGATTGTGATTTTTGATGTTTGGAGTTTAGAATTTATGAGTCCCTTTGTACCTTCGTTAGAGAATTTATATATTATGACAGTTGTAAAATATGTCTTAAAATGGATTGAGGCAGCTACTCTTCCAAATTGTGATTCTCAAAGTGTAGCGAAATTTTTAAAGATGAATATCTTAAGTAGATTTAGTATGCCGAAGTAATCATAAGTGATAGGAGGAGCCACTTTAGGACTAGAAGGATTAAGGCATTAGTTATAAAGCATGGAATTAAACATATGATTGCCGCATCATATCATTCTCAAACGAGTAGTTTAACAATAAGTATCTAATAGAGAAATCAAATAGATTTTAGAGAAAACTGTCAATCCTAATACAAAGGATTGATCTTTAAGATTAGATGATGCACAACGGGCTTATAGGACTGCTTAAAAAATGTCTATAGAAATATCTCCATATCGGCTCATATTAGACAAAACTTATCACTTACAAATGAAATTAGAATATAAATCTTATTGGGATGTGAATGAATTCAGTTACAATATGAAGAAAGTTGATAATAAAATATTACTACGCTTGAGTG